ACTTTAGTACTAAGTACACAAACGGATATAGTTAACAATAAAATGAGTAGAAAAAGATCAACAGGCGGTATATACTATCGATTAAATACGCTTGGATATTGAAGATACGATTCATTGGATACTGAACATGGGGGGTGCAGTTAGAAATTTTAAGATTAATTCAAACTTCTAAAACAATAAGAAAGATAAATTATACCGACAGATTAATTAAAGAAAAAGGTAACAATTATAACCATCATTCAATACTTGAAAGTTAACTTGAACGATTCATTGTACAAAAGTGATGTAGACATAAGAATTACAAAGGAAATCCATCTTAATTTCATTAATATGATTCAATGAAATGAATGACTTGGAAAATCTGAAAATATACCATACTATTGTGTCTATCTCTCTTGTCTATTTGGCTTGTTCACAAAAATATCTATTATCTATAAATATACAATTTTCTCAATTGTCTTAATATCAGATAAGTGAAATAGATTAATAGAAATTTGTATATAACCGCCGTTTTAATTTCACCGGTACCGATTTGAAAACACATGTTTTCAATATTGAAAAGACTGTCACTGTAACATAAACTGAACATCATAGCAACACTTTATAGAGTAAATGATCATTGGTTTGAGCGAATATGTAAGTGCAAACTATCTAATTGGGGGAATGTGCTATTACTGTGACTAATGGTTGAAAACTTTAAGTGACAGTGCTGAAAACAGATTAAGAATGATGCTATGGATTCATTTTGATCTTCCGCTAAATCTTGAGTAGTGATACTCTTTTATACATAACCCTTAAAACCATTTTATCTATTTCAAATGGACTGAATTATCTCGCTGTTGATATTTTGACTGAATTTCAAACAGTCGCAGTTTGCATATATGCATCATATATAGGTTATTTCGATAAAGACAATAATGACACATTTTACTATAGAATCGATGGAATGTGGCTAGTAGTAGAAACCAGGACGAGTTTCGTCCTATATGATGATTCTACTGCTAGCCACATTCCACTTCCTCAACACGAACTTATCCTGACTATTACTGATACAATCACTATTTCGACTCCTGTGTTATTTATCTTGTTCATTTTATCTAGTCGTGAAGATTTGATCTGAAAACTTGAGCTTACTCATAGTTGTGACAGATTCTACGTTAATTATGGCTGAATAACACTCCGATCAAAATTATTTTGAACGTGATTAACTGGAGTTAATAATGTATGTCAAGCCTTAAACGATATTAGTGTATTTCGCACCAGTTAACTGGAACCAGCTTGTTTAATTAGTGATATAGTTTCGTACCATTCATATAAAATGAAGACTTGTTCAAAAACTTAATTTCTAATCAAGAGATTACATATGTTCATTATATTCTGTTTATTAAGGTTTGGGCAAGCAAATAGTATCGTAGAAAAAAACATATCAATCCCAATATAATGCATTAACATTCATGTTTAATGAAACACAAGTTACGTTATATTGAATGATTACAACAGTAAGTAAACCGTTTATATAGTCACTTTACAACGAACGGCATTAAGTTTTCCGTTCAAAACTCCATTTACTTCAGTATTAATAATGAAAATAATCATCAGTCTTACAAAAATATAGTTGGTAGATAAATTGAGTTCCAATGAGATTTATGTTATTTTACGGATTAAATGGTCTTTCCGGGAAAAGTCCTCTGAATTTAATTATTAAACTTATTTTTCAAGAAAACTATTACAAACATTATTTTTTTGATTGAAACCATGAGTCAATTGAAGCTAGACCACTATGGAAAACCTGGAAGCATTGGACAGCCATTTCGTCCTAGTATGAGACTCCTCAGCAGTGCGCATCAACGATCCTGGATCGCGAGATTCCAACCCAGGACCTAACAGTCTCTCGCGCGAGCGCTTAACCATTACACCACTGAGCCGGTGTTCAACGGCGTTAATGTCTAACTTCAACCAATCCACGAAATTGCTTCACCGTACACCATTGTCTGGGCTGATATCTCACAACAGGCCTGGTTTAACTGCACTGGTAACGCCTTCTCACTAGAATTCCAGGAAATGCCTCTTGTAGTCAGCCACTAGTGAGCAGGTGATTATTATCGGAATGGGTTTTGTGGAGATTTTAAAAATTTCACTAGTTGAAATCATCATGAGTCAACTGAAGCTAGACCACCATTTCAAACTTGAAAGCACTGGACGGCCGTTTCGTCCTAGTATGGGACTCCTCAACACTAGAATGGTGGAGATTTGTAGCTCAGGTGGATGATTTTGATGGAGTTTTGTTCTCTGAGCTAGATGGTTTGGTCCTGGAGCTTTCATCGTACTTATGAACGACATCATCAGCACAAACTTCAGATAGAAGTAAAGCGTTCGGATTTCTCCATGTGTTTCACAGCTTGTCCGGTACACCTAGATGTTGATAGGATCATGTCGACAAAACCACAATACGTTTACTTAACGATATATCCAGCTAGAGGGTAGTCAGAAACAGTATATGCAAAATTGTGAATGATTACCTCCTTCCAGTTTAAGTAGAATAAACAACTCATCGCCACATATCTTTTTAAGCTCTAGATTGAGCCTTTGACTAAACTAAAGTTATAATCACAGCTTAAAACGGGAAGGATATTAATCGACTGTTCCACTGCAATCAACTTTCAGGATTAAATTACTCAATAATTAGTAGTCAGTGTGGGAATAAGCGAATATTTATTAATTTTTTCATATGAACAGATGTATTTATTTGTAATTTTCTTAATATATTTATAGGGTTTGTGATGATTCACTTGATGTTTACAACATCAACAAGAAAATCATCAAAAAGAGTGAATTCATCACCTGTGAAGTCGACAGTGTTAAAAGTGAAACAGTGGCTTAATGGTAAAGCAGGATTGGCAGTTCAATATCATAAACTGACCGATGTTTAAATTACGCATAAATGCGGGTAAACTCACTGATTTAATTTCGATGAGCTTACCGCGAGAACCGGATGATTTCGGTAATGGATCTCGTATGAATTCATAGGTGTGCACTGTTGAAGATATCCAATCTAGTACGAAACAATAGTCCAATGCTTCCTAGTTCGCTAATGAAAGTAAGTAGTACTGTAATTATACGTATGATGAGTGCACCAAGTTATAGTAAGTTATGTTTGTATATTTATTAGTGCAGAGATGTACAGAACATTCCATTTTCAACTATTCGGTTACAGGTTTTGACCTATTCAAACTACTTTTGTTCTGTAAGTTGGGGAATATTGCTAATCATTACACAGAAAATATGAATAGATATTTTGGTTGACGAGACGAGTTTGTTAACTATATTTTTAAAAAATATGACTAATTTTCGATTTATCTAACTCTTGAAGGATTGAAAAAGAAATATGAAGTGAAAAGCCATCTCCTTCAACAGAACAAAGATTCACTGTCACCATTCGCATATGGTGAGTTAAAGGATTTTAAAAACTATTTACATTCAGATATTAAGTTCTATACGTCGATTGTAACACATCAATTGACAAGCTTATGAATAGTCATATTCTTGGATGCCTTCGTCTGACATCGATTTTTCGTGTAATGAATTTAAAAACCAATAAACATTTAAAACTGGTATACTTTTTAATATTCACAGAATACTTTTCTTTGGAAATATTCATAGATTTCATGCCTTTAATTAAACTGGAGGGTAAAAAAGACGCAATTCAACACAAATTAAGCAGCATGATAAAGATGAAAAATTTTTTAAAAAATACTAATGATGAAAAGGTTACATATAATACTTATATATTTTCAATAGTCTGATAAAAAATATGATGTAGAAAAACAAAAATCAAACTTCAATCTTTTATCTCCTTCCAATTCTAAACCTCATCATTATGACTATCTCATCTCAGTAAATGTAAATAATAAAAACAAAAAGTGATGAAAATTAATTCCGTCCACAAAGAAAGTATCATCGAAGAAAAATGCGCATCAAACCAAAACATACATACATTTTATAATTTTAAGAAAGTGAATTATTTTTTCGAACTATAACAGTACAATGAATGTCAATCATCGGTAATAACAAACGGGTACACAAATCAATGTATGTTAACCCCTAAAATCAATTAAATCTAACAAGTTTCTACTGGAGAATAAATCCGAATGTGAACAATATCGATAGTGAATGAAAAAAAAAACAAATGCAAATAATAAAAAAGTTAGAATGAGTCAAATCAATGTACTATATTGAGAAGGTTCCAATGAAAACACTTTCATACTATCTCCTATATAAGTGACCGGGTAAAATGAAGTCAAAACAAAAAGGGGGAGAAATAACCCTAAATAAATAGATGGCGCTTCTTTAACCTACCATAACAGATAAATGTATATTTGAGATATTAAAAAAGAAGAAGAAAAAAGGTTCTTGTCCAAATAAATCATTAGTAAGTTGTGTGCTTCATAAAAGTTGATTATTTGGCGCTTTCCTTTTAAATGAAATAATAAAAAACATGAAATAATTCAATTGAAACATTCACAAAAATTGTTGAAGGAATTATCTACTACTCGTTAATATACACATTATGTTAACGAATTGCATGAGAACAAGAAAGTGGTCATGTGAAAATAATAATATTATCATTGGTTTGATTGCTGAAAGTACACACACACACACACTCACACAATGATACGATTACTTGGCGCCAAAAGCTGAGCGAACGAAAGATAAAACGTGATTTTATTTCTTTGCATTCTAACTAGAATACCGCATTTGTTGTTGATTGTTTTACGAGAGAACACTGCATGTAAACATATTAATGATGGAATAGGAAGAAATTGATGTTTGAAAAAGAAAGAAAGAAAGAACGAAAATAAGGAAATGTAGGAAATATGCAGAAAAAAATATAACCTTAGAATAAATTTTTAATGAAAGAATACACATATGCTATTTTAATGTATACTTCATAAGAGTATCAATAGGTCAGTACGCTTTAAAAACATATGAGAAAACAAAATTTAAAAATGCTTCATTGATGATGATGACGATGATACTGATGCTGTCGGTGCTGTTGACGAAGTTAAAGCAGATAACATATTCATACAATTATTATTACTATTATTGAAAGGAAAATTTTGCAAAAACTCCATGAAATAAGCGGTTGGATTAGTACTACTGATATTAGTAGTAGCAACGCTATTATTCTGACTACCAGATATTATTTGTCTTAATGAATCCGTATTATTAGTATTAATGTTACTGTTACGCATTAATGTTTGCAAAAACATTGACCAGTTATTAGCAAATACATTAGGATCAATTAGGCTATCAACTTTTAATTCAGTAGGAAGAGATGTGGTACTCGGTTGATGTTCTTGCCGTACTTGTTGTTGGTGAGTGATTTGATGGTGGTGTATATGAGATGAATTCGGCAACGTTGATGCGGATGGTTGGATTAATGATGTAGGTGATGACGACGATGTTTGAAATATAGGCACTGGTGTAACAGTCTGATTTATTGGGAGAAATGATTTTCTGAATAATTCTGTTTGAGATTGATCATTATTGGTAGTATTAATATTGTCACTAGTGCTACTAGAATTATTTGTAGCCATGGCACTGAACAACGATGATAGAACATTTGGCGGTGGTATACATCCCGGTGGGAATAATGATAAGAATGAAGGAAGTAAATCAGATTTAGCAAATGCACTCGGAATGACTGAGGACTGTAGAGTACTCCCAACACTACCACTGTTATTACCAGATATCAATCTATTATCTACCATTGATGTATTCCAATTACAATGAATGCTAGAAGTAGTAGGAGTACCCATAAGTTTTGAAATATTCGATGTATCTGAAGTGTTGCTATTGTCGACACTATTATTGCCAATATTGTTATTAGTATCGTTTATTAAAGACACCGGGTTTGTTACAGATGCTGTCTGTGAATGTGGGAGAGGTATTGATGGTAAGCCTCCGTTTGATGATGGTGGCGGTGATGATGACAATGATGATGATGAACTGACATCAACCAAGCATATACGTAAATGTCTTTCTGGCCAACGAAAAACTAACGGCAAATGCAATTCATTAGGATATAATAAACATGAAAATTGAAATTCCAACTGTTCCAGAAAATCATCTGTCAATAAGATCTAGATAAATTTCAACAAAAAAAACAAATAAAGAATAAAAATACAATTTGATATCAGTATTATTAAAAACCAAAATAACATAACATTGATAAAAGAAGAAATTAAAAAGAAAATAAGAGTGATCAAGGCGGCTCGTCATATTCCAGTATAAAGTTTCTCAGAAGCAAAAAACCCAGTTATTTTCCAGATCAAATAAATGCGGTTTGTTTATGGATTAAAATAACTCGTCTGTTTAATAAATTATTAAAACTGATAGAACACAAGTCGAATATGTATAACTTGATAATTGGAAGTTAATTGTCTTGTAAAATCTAGTTATCATTCAACGATTGTTTGAAGCTGATTACTACGTATAATGATACAGGATATCTTTTGCTGAGAACTTCTTACACCAGAACAAAATATAGAATTCATGAATGCCTGGTTCTCAACGAATTACATGAAAAGGAAGATGACTAGACTACCCAACACTTAAAAAGTGGTAACTCCAGTAAAAGAGGGGGATTTGAAGAAATGATTACAGATCAGTAAGTTATAACCAACTACGGGATTATAACTTCTTGTAAGTTAATACACTTCACTTATTGCATTAATTCTTAAGAATAACTACTTATTATAAAACAATTCATTTAAAATTTCTCTTACTTGTAACCATGGTCCACGGGCAACATAGGGTGTTTCTTCTGCAACAAAAGCTCCAGAAACACCAGATGGCACTAACGTAATAGCATGATCTGGATAATTTGCATTTAAAAATGTAAAATGTCTTCCATGACGTAGTCGATCATTCACTGCCAAAGGAAGCATTTCACCAGCTTCACGACATAAATGCACATCTAAATAATCGATAATCCGTGTTGGCATCATATCCAAACTTGCCGGAGAAAGTGATAAATGTGCTAAAGGTGTACATGGTGCAGAACCATCACCAGTAGTACTACTACTACCACCACCACCAGGTGTAAGATTCCCACCTTTAGGCTCAATACTGGTATCTATAAATTTATCTGTAATCATATTGGATATTGGTAGTTCTGAGTTGAATGTTCGAAAACCAAGCGCGCCGCCAACTACATTAGTCAGTTCTGTAGGTGAATTGACCAAAGTACTTTTGAATATTCCACCACCTGTAGATGAAGTATTAGCGCCGACTTTGTTTATGCTTTGACGACCTAAGTAAAGTTGAAAAAATGAATGAATTAAAACTAAGAGTGAATAAATAAGACAAAATCTCTGCATAAATCTTGGGTTTCCTGTTTGTATTTCTGCACTTCACATTTTTCTATAGAAAACTTAATTAAATAATATGTGATTATGGAAAATGTTTAAGCAAGTCCTAATATGAACGCAGGCAGTTGATATCTGCTGGTACATAATCAAAGAAGACAACTATGAATTACTTTTCGGCTATATATATATATATATATATATATATATATATGTATATGTATATAGCTATGATAATATACCTAGGTAGATAATATTAAAAATATCCAGGTTATGCATCTAACTAAAAACAAAAAGTTCATATAAAGTACACAAATGTGAACAACTCTTTGAAACGTGAATATGTAAAACATGTCTACAATGAACAGTGTACTAATAACTGATTCTGGATATTTTTGACTAATTACATGTAACACCTAATGATTTTAATTGAAATCATGAACGGATCAATGTCAGACCACTACTGAAAATCTGGAAACACTGAACACCCATTTCATCCAAGTATGAGACTCCTTAGCAATGCGCACCGACAATCCCGCACGCAAGCCTTGAACCCATAATCTTCGGTCTCACAGGAACGCCTAGCCTTTAGACAACCGAGCCGGCATCCAGTGGTGTTGGTTGATGTTAGACATTAAAACCGTTGGATTTCGACTGTGATATAGAAGTTAAGCGTTCGTGAGAGACAGAAGGTCCTGTTTCCGGCTGATACCTAATGATTTATTTATTTATTATTCAATGAGAATAAATCAATGAAATTTATTTACCAACCATTAATTCATTTATGCATATGGTCTTAAGCCAAACTTTTGTCTAAGAAATAGCGATACTGTTAGGTAAACTAAATCGAAAAAGATGGAGTGAGGTTTGAGACTGTAATCAAGTAATGAACCCTAATTGACTGTTAAACTAAGCCGTGTTGATGGGTATAACGATTATCGTAATGGTTATACAGAATTACAGCTTAAGTAAATGGTTTCGTCGAAAAGAAAATTCTCTTCGTGGAATTCTCTTTTTCTTATAGGAATGGTTAAGAACTAAACGCAAAGGTTCAGGTGTATTTACATTGTTCCCGTTAGAGTTCCAATTTTAAAATAATCTTATACCTTTTTGCTCCGCAAATTTTTTTCTTGTCAAATTACATTGCCTAATAACAAAGCTTTCAACAACAACTGAAACTGATATCATTCCAACCATTATAGAATTCATCTTGACGCCATCTGGAACCCGTTAGGATTACTGCCGTTTCAGAGCAAAACCCCTATGGATGATACTCCATCATCAATAGAAATTAATACGATTATCAGACAAATCAAGAATAGCAAAGAAGCAGGACAAGATAGAACACAAGCTGAACCACCGAAGTAATATATGGAGGTAACTGTAAAAATGACTCTTTCTATTTAAAAAGGTTTGGGACGAAAAGACAAAAGAGAATGGAATGAGATACTTCACCAAGATATCAAAAAAATCTTATTAAATGTGAGGAATACAAAGGCATTACGTTGCTATTGGTACTATGCGAAGCTTTCAACAGTGTTAATCAACCAAACGAAAAATTCAGTAGACGTTCAACTTCGATATTAACAAGCTAGACTTCATAACGACTGATCGTACACCGACCAAAATACGATAATGAGGATGATTGTTGAACGATCAACCGAATGGAACTGGCTATGTTGCAACCTCTCTGAAAGGGAACAGTACACTGTGTTTGGAGGAAAGTGTTCAGAGTCTCTACTGTCTCATGAAGGTGTACCACAAGGAGCTGTTCTTTCACCTCTTCTTTTCTCTTTTTTTCTGCATGATCTGCCATCTTCCACAGAAAACACTTTTTTGAAATATGCGGATGATCTTACTGTATGTATACCTGTCTCTTCCCCTTTACATCCCATAGAAAAAAAAGGAGTTTTTGTCTCGTATTGATTGTTGGTCTGTTGGTAATGGTCTCATACTTAATCCGTCTAAATGTCAAGCTGTTAACTTTAGTATGAGACATGAACGGAATCTAAACACCATTTTGAGATCCCATAATGCTTGTACCATCGGAGACTCTTTGATATGCACAGTTTCGAAGGTCAATTACCTTGGTGTCACCTTTTCCTCTGATCTGTCTTGGTCTTCCCACGTTTTATTGTTATCAAAGAAGGTTTTCCGTCTGACCTACTACATAAAGAGATTGCATGCTCTTGGGATTACTCGTCATTCACTCTTACAATTTGTCAATTCTTGCATATTACCTATTATTATGCTTTACTGTTCTCCATTATTCTTTCCCGGGCTTTTGAGAAAAGACTTTGCTGTATTGCGGAGTGCTGAAGGAAGTTGGCAAGTTGTGTGGTGAATCTTTCGAGGTCATAATTAATATGGTTGTGGATAGACATCTAAAGTCATGCAAACTCCTGGCAGGTGTTATTTAATCAGATACTAACCATCCCCTTCACTCTTATCTTTCTCCTTGTATATCTTCTGGTAGAACGAGACGTAATTACATTAAAATCCATGCACGCAAGCAAAAGTATAAAAGTTCTATAATACCTTACCTAGCAAATATACTCTGTGACGAACAGGTTGTTAGAGTTAACCTAGTCAATTACCTGCATTCTTAACATGTCTTTACTTTTAAAAGTTGTACAGTTTTTCGGTTTCTTTTTTTTTTTAAAAACTTTTTTTATTTTATTTTTTTGTATTTGTTACTGTGTTTTTTTTGTTGCTGTGTAAGTAACTTGTTGAAATACCCTGTGCTGAGAATTCTATATTGTACCAAAATATAATATTGAAAAAAGCCATTAATAATAATAATAAATTCATAATAACTTATCAGAAAAGCTTTCTAAACGAAAGACTAAATGGAATTGAGTGGATTAACATACAATAATACTTAAGGTAAGTTAAACTTACTCATAGGTGATTGGTTAAACTGATTGATAGGTCCTACTCGATTACACCAGGCAGAAAAACCACCAGGTGCACTGATAGTTTGTCCATCGATTACATTTCGATTTCCTAATGAATGCGGAAAACAATCTGAAGTTAAATGTCCGGAGCTCAACCTACTGCTCAAAGAAACACGAGATTTTGGTTCAAAACGAGAAATTTTTAGTGAATTAGGTTCAGCAGACACTGAAGCTAAAGCACTAGTAGATGAATTGATGTAACTTTCTGCTGTCAACTTCTGAAATGTCTCGTCGCCACCCCCGTTACCACCACCGCCAACAACATCTATAAATTCATCATCTTCAATTCGTTTTTTTACTGCAAACGACACCAATGTATCATCTGTGTCCATGGCCACAGTTTTAGATCCAATATCAGTATCTGATTTGTGGGTATTATAATCAGTTGAAGGGTTATGAAACAATACAGCCTTGGATCCAGACTGAACTTCTGATTTAGAATACAGACAACTAGTTGAAGATGAATCACGTTTCTGTGTTTGACGACGTAATCGACGAGATTCCACTTCACCTGGTAGTAGCTCACCTAAAGTGACCATAGTTATAGGTGCCCAAGCGAAATAGGATATTGTGACACCAGATAAATTCGAACCTTCACGTTTTAATTTATCATTGATATAATCCACTAAATTTGGTTGCATTTCAAAAATATTTAAATTTCTTCTCATATCGGTGACAAGAAGACCACCACCAGTTTCTAGTGAACAACTCATTAATTCGGCAACATGAGAACCAGTCCAACGTTGAACCAAACGCAGTTCCTCATCGCAAAGACCAACCAACTAAATAAAAAACATAAAACTTAAATTTAATCTTAAGAAGCATAACTGATAGTGAAAAGTAATTTATGAATAAGCGATTTAGATGATAGCTTGACAGGTTAATTGTTTGGATTACTATCAGAAAATGTCAAAAATACTGTGTTGAAATAAACAACTAGTTGACCATCTATTATTTTAAATAATGTGCATTTTAAAATAATCATATTGCATACTGTCCAAAGTGTTTTCTGAAAGATATTTACGAATTCAGAGAGCCTCCAATGAACTAATATGTCATTTTTGTTATTATACTGACGACTTTAAGACAAAACACAACATTAGAGGATTATAACTAATTAACGACCACTAAACCAATTAGATTTCAAGGGACCACCAAATTATCGTTATGGAGTTAGATGTAGGTAACGGAAGTCATTATTCACTAGTGTATACGTGAAAAAAATGAACCAGTCATGACATGCTTCACGCAGTCATTTTATAAATATAGATAAGTAGGTAGGTAGATAGATATAGATAGATAAATATTAAGAAGACTATTAACAATAATTTTAATCAGATCATAGTGATAATATTAAAATACGTTTAGGTTTATGCAGTCAAGTGAGTCATAAATTACTGAAACCGGTAGAGTGGGATTCAAACCCGCAAGCAGATATTTGAAAATCGGGTTTTAACAATTAATTCACCGTTTTGCTTGGTAGAAGTTAAGCTATCCACTAACTGGATGTCAAATTATATGTAGCAAAAAATTTAGATTGTGTTATCATTCAAATTAATTGTTTTAGCGGAATAGATAGTGACATAATTTATTTATCATACTAAATTAGCTTATACCAAGTTTATACAGTAATATTTCATATAGACTTTTTAGACTGACAATTTGTATTATACGCTGCTGATCGAATAGTGAATATTTTCGGACTCCTAGACAAAGTCAAGTTAAAATTCTGTACTTTAACTGACAAAGGCCTATAATAGGCATTTGGTTGTTTTGACCAAACAAAATTCAATCCTCCTAGTTTATTTAGTCCTTACAGAAATCACAAAATGTCAGTCGTAAAGATCATTTCACTACCTAGATACTATGTTGAAATTCACTCAATCATTTTTCCAACTTCAGTTTATTTCCGAGATACAGTGCGACTGTCCATCTTGATGGAAGTTAATAATGAGGACAGATTCAATTTCCTCTCGTAGCCTGATTTATTTACTTGATATTGTATGACTGACTGAATGGTATAGCGCTTACCGCGTGACTAAATTAATTACTGTATAACGTGTGGATATGTACTGCTGAGTTTCAAAACATGTTGATTCGTTTGTTGACATATATTTATAATTACAAAAAGACCACCTTTATTTATTATTCATCAGACCATGTTGAAAACGAACTGAAATCTGATCATTCAAGAGATAATTTTATCTTTAATGTGATGTTCATGACTTAAAATCTATACACATAAACAATCAACCATATACCCATACATGGTAGATTTCAATTTTGTTTTTTTTCAGTCAGTGTTTCTGTATACTGAATAACAATAATAATTCATAATATACCACACCTCGACTAACCTACCTACCTGACATAAAATGAAGGTGGGTATCAATTCTAAACGGTCACACAAACAGAATTACGTATACTGCTGTCGAAAGTTTAAAATTTATGAAACGAATACAATTTATTAAAAAGGACCAACAAATAAATTTGGTCTAGCATGTAAATATATTTATAGTAATTATCATAATCAGTTGCAGTTCACGTACACAGAAATTGTCTGTGGTTGTTTCGTAGAAGGGAATGGTGATAAAAACACGGATGACCTTGGACCCAGTCTCGTTTAATGAGAAATCAAATCAATACAGAGTGTCGCTGAATATGTGGAATTCTTTTTCAAGAAATACAGTCGACTATGATCTTTATATTTAAAAATGTTTGGGTATTCGGAAAATAAAAGTGAGTCCTACGGTTAATTTTGTAATGAATGGATAAAGGTAGTTATCAACTGGATACTTTTGTGCTTCTATATCATAATTTCATGCTGTCTAATTGCATTTCATCAAATTTATTGAGAATAACAACATTGAAGTTTAAGACTAAAGGTTAAAAATAGCTAAAAAAAATTCGTTAAAAGACTAAACTTACTAAATTTCTACCAAATACAATAATGTGAAAATAAAGATTTTATTCGCAACATGATTAGTTAAATGGTAACGTCCTAAACCGTGAAACAAGGCGATGAGCGTACGAATCTTATGAGCAGAATCCCCTCTCTCAAATACACCCTACCTTAAACCAGTAAAAATAGAATAATGATCAATTTAAAAGTGGTTAAACTCATGGTGTACAAAAAATGGGAAAGTATTTATACAAACATATGTTGTAGAAAACTAATTACTTTACACACTTTAACATTATTCGTTTTGTAAAATCCAATAATGCTACTTAAGACCATCTACTCCTTTAGTCGTTCGACAATTGTACTATTTTTAGCCGAATTTTCACTTATTCTAGTATACATTTGCGCTACTATTATTAGAAAGTAAAATTCATAAGAATTACAAAGAAAAGTAATAACCTGTAAAAATTGAACATAACCATATGGTGTAGTGATTTTCTTCAGTTGAGGATCTTCTACCAGTAGCATATGATGAATACGTGATGAATTTGTTGAATTAGTTGTTAGTTTATCCTTAGTTTCATTCTGGCCAACTGGATCATTCGAGTTGTTATTATTGACAGCGGCTAGAGCAGCTGCGACCATGGATGCATAAGTCGAAGGATTGGTTAATGCGGATAGAGCAGCCGATGAAGATCCCATACCTGTTTTAGCACTGTTTGCAGCTAATATGGAAGCCGCAGTTGCTGCAGCCGCCATTGCAATGGATTTTCTTGCATTTTCCAACTCTTTCACATTTGTTTCTTTATCCGTCTGTTGTTGCTGGTGGTGGTGATGATGCCGTCGTCGTTTTTCCGACTGTTGAGATGAAAAATTAGGCTGCTTATCTAAAGACGTAGGCCATGGAATATGATCGCCTGCCATTAATTGAGCTTGTGAATAGAAAACATAACGTGCTAAGCTTTGTAGTAAATGCGCTGGCCATGTTGGTGGATTTGTTTCACCTGCCTCACGTTTCACTCGAAATGTTAACTCGAAACCGAAACCACTTGGACCGTCAGTTGAATGACAATGGCTACAATCCATATATATATATAGTAGAAATTAACAAACAAAAATCTTTTATTATGGAAAAGTAAAATGGAATTTTTTCCACATTATGATGCAGAAAACACAAACTAGGAAAATTATGGTGGAAAGGAGAAATTAGGACAGTCAGTCGGTTGGATGTAACGTAAAAACTGAAACATGTGTGTGAACTGGTTATTGGACAGCATGGTTGTTTACACGTTGACGGGTTTCAGATTCCTAGGTAGTTTACGTAAAGTGTTTACGGAACGCCAAAATGAAATAAACAAGGTGTGTGGTATATCTTTCATATTAATACATGACAAAATATAAGATGCGGTTGTAATGAAAACACTTGAAAATGTATGATAATCCTCAGATTATTTTTAAGAAATAGATATTCAGAGTTTGATAGTGACTTGTTCGACGACGACCAACCTAAATTTCTGACGTTATTTTGAGTAATCAATTGATCTGATATTTACATAAGCACAATAAAACTAGTGGATTAAAATACCATATATACCAGCAATCAAATTCTATATCACACTCGAACCATTTTAATGTCTCAATGAGTTTAAAGAGGTAAATACACCTTATGGAAGCTCTTTGCCTGAAAACTACTGATACAGGTCAGTACTGACGAATTGACTCATTGATTTTAACGTTTGTCACAAAAAATGTGAGCTTTACATCTATTACAAAGAGAGTGGGTAGTGTAGATCACTGGAAAGTTGAAAGGACTAGATCTTTAGAATACTTCTGAGTTTTTAATGTTTCTCTTACTACGATTGATTCATGACGGAACACTACCTGACAATTTATAACATTCATAGCTAATTAGAATTTATTGGAAAAAATGAATCAGTCATATGGAAAAATTCCTGGTATCAATAAACTTAGAGTTGATTCCTTGATATCTCCTGGTAATTAATGTATTGCTAGATGATGGAACTAAAATTGTTACTGGAAGATCATGAGATATATCCCAATAAACCACCAAAAGTTCATTTGTATTACGTACCTTTGCACAATTTTATTCTATCACTACTTAAAGCTAACTTCCCCTATTGAAAGTCAATAAATGATATCAAGTAGCAGAGTATGTAAGTTGTGGCAATAATAGGTAAATAAGTACAACAATTCACTTACGTCATACTCTTTTGTAGTGTTCTGATCTAAGCATCTACACTTTTAAACAATTTTTCGTTCAAAAATCATTCCACAACAGTGTGTTATGTTGGTTACGTAATAATGATAACCATAATTAAATGAGTCTTACAGATGGTAAACTATAATACTGCTATACGGTTACTATTTCCATGAAAACCAAAGAGTCGGAGTCCCGGTTCTGTAACCTAGATACGCCGCCAGTGCAGCAGAATAAACTTCAGTCAGAATCACCAGTACTATTGTCAATTATGATGAAGAACATGTTTCTTTGAAACTCGCAAAGAAATAAACGAAGCAAAAAAGTACTAATAAACTCACCCATGCAACCTCGAGTCACCATACAAATCTGATAAACCGTTAGTTACGTAATGCCAGTGAGGAGGGCTTTGCAGTTCAGCTGATCCTGGATTTGCATACATATTGATAAAATCCAAAGGATCTGGTCCACCCATCCAGAACTTTCGAACAGCTGTTACTTGCAGTGGAGTAGGTTGATCAGGATACAACAGTCGACAAGCTGCATAAATAGCTTTTAAGCCTAAGGCATGCTCTTCTTTAGCAGATGGAACACTGCCTAAATTAGGAGCAGTCCCTGAACTTAAAACTGGTCCAAAAGCACTATTCGACATTTTTATTTGGTAATAATGAGTATTAGTACATTTTTCTTCTAAAATAGAAATAAGAAACCGGACCTGAGTTATATATCTTCAACTAATTACACACAAACTTACAACCCTCTTGTTATCAAAGGCATCCTCTTTGAAACAAACATGTGCACATTGACATTTAATAAGACATAACCAAGTTTAGAGGGGGAAACCCTGAAAACATATCGTTACGCAACTTAGTCGTGAATCAACTACACTTTAAAAGCTATTTGTACTACACAGCAGATCTGTACAAAGTATGTACAGAAAGATACGAAACTATAAACTAACTCATGAGTGCTTAAACTATTCAGCAACAATTCAACCTTAAATATATACCTATGTGTTGGAAACAAATTAACATTCAGGTTAAACTACGGATTTTGTGATACATACGTGATTTACTTAAATATTTAAACTTACTGAAATCATTCAACTCAAAAAATCAACTATGGTGTATGCACAGGATCATGAGCAGTAACCCTCTTCGTCGTAGTCGAGATACTGATATTATAAACAAAGATGGAATTTTTAAGGTGAATAGGAACTGAAGGTAATCAAGAAAATTGATACGAACACCTTATACATAAGGCCAGTCATGCAATGCAAAAATAAGCAAGAACTGTAGATTAAACTAAACAACAACATTCGGAAACATATAGCAGTCTTTCAAAATAGTAAAAGACTGAGTCGAACACAAGTAGTCTGAAGGTCATAAGGGTTATTCCAAGTCCTTAAAGCCGGATAAAGGAGAAGGGTTGGGTATGTGCCTACCAAACCCACCTCACTAAATACAAAGTCGTTGGAAAAACGCTAACCAGACTCAACCAACTAACTCACACTCCCCACTAGTAGTTGAAGGATCTTGATATAGAAGAGTTATGAAGCTTCAGGAAAAATCCCGAGATTCTTTGAAGGCCATGGAAACGGTGTTCCTTCTGACGACCAGAATAACAATTAATATAGGGACACGGAATGTCTGGACAAAGTGAGAGGCTAAGAGGACCATTCAAATGGTGGCAGAAGTGAGAAGATACAACCTGATCTTCATTGGGATAGGTGATTCCCAACGAACACAATCGGAGCAAAACAAACCAACTCCAGGACAGATGTTATATTCTAAACATGAGGAAGAAAATACCCACACACGCATGAAATTGTTCTGACGCTGTCCAAAGAAGCATGAGAATTGTTGACTGGATTGGTTGAAAACTCACGGCTCTAGGATCACCAAAGCATCCGTTAAACTAAAGAGGGGAAGGATTACGACGAATGTCGTCAAGTGCTACGCACCAACCAATAACAGTTTAGTGGCACGTTGAACGGACTTCGATTTGATAGAATGATGATGTCAACGAAATAAACACGCCATCCACTCTCGTTTATAATAGTCGATTTAATTCGCGTCAGGGAATAACGGAATAAAATAGGTCAAATACGAGGATGAATTTTGAAAACGTATATCTATCTGATAAACTCGTTGGCCGGGATAGACAATCAGAGGAATGAAGTGGGATTTATGTGCTCTCAACATGGTCATAGGAGGCAGCATTTTACCCGCAAACGGACACATAAAGCTACATATGTTTCACCTGAACACGTTACAGAAAACCAGATCGATCACATCTGCGTGAACAAAAAATTCGGAAGCTCAACCGAAGAAGTAGGGATAAAGAGAGAAGCTGATATAACTTTATATCACCACATGGTAATAGACAAACTGGAACATAAGCCAAAGGCGTATTGGACAAATGAGCAAGCAACACCGGAAAATTTTAATACCGCCTTCCTTCAAAATGCTAACAAACTCAGTCAGTCCAATATAGATCTCAGCAACAAGTTCTAATTGTTACAAGATCTACTAGTAGAGAAAATCCCCACAGAGAGCAACTCGAAAAGGCTTAAACGAGCAATAACTTCGAAATTCCAGTGTGTTTCGGGCCCCAATAGGCACCAGAATGAAGAACAAATCACAGTAGACAGTTTGGTCACGATTCAAGGAAATGAAACAAGACAGCAGTCAGAATAAACCGACGAAAAGCAGGCACAGGCTGAATACACATAAGTAAACAAAAGAGTGAAGGTTGTTTTGGTTTTGAGAATCTGAGGCCAACACTAATGCCGTGAATAACACTTGATAACAACTGGGAAGAAGAGTCTAGAATGGAGCTTGTTAGAGACTCCTGAATGGTGCTACGGCAAGAGGGGTAACTGGTGTAATTATTTAGGTTTGGATCGAATGAGCACTACGAAAATATTGAAAACTAGAGCATATTGACTCAAAGAAAATAGGTAATTCGGTAGATTCTTAAGTTATCAATAAACTACAACTTATCATACTTAGACTAAGGTCAAATGTAACACTATATTGTAATGGCTTGCGCAGTAGGCTTAAGTAAACATTAAATGCTAAATAATTTGGTTTATATTAAGACAGCAAACGAGTGAATGAAAAATTTTAAAATTTTCTATTCAAATACTAAGGAATTAAAAGGCCCACAGTAGTTAGTAGACGAGTACCCGGCACTGGCTGACACCAAGATGCATTTGAGCGCGGGCCTTATAAAAAAAACGGGAAACCGAACTGCTTGATCTAAAAGTTCATCGTACCGTTTCGATTACAGGTTGCAGAATTGCTTAGGTTACTGTTTTAATCAGGCAGATTAACGTAAGCTGATGGATAATGTAAATTGCAATCGATACGCGTGTAACTAACTCTAGTATACATTGTATTAATCTTGTGGCATCAGGTAAGTTGTAAACGACCTCAGTATTACTCTAGGTCAACTTACAGTACTTATATAATTCCTTTTGTTCTTTGTACAGTGAAAACTTCAACACCTGATCTCTATTTATCTTCGTTTATCAGTTATTTATTAGTGTATCACAAATAATTTTACATTTATCTGGTAAAGAATTAAGAGCTTTCAAGGTTATAACTACAATTCTAACCGTAACAGAGAGCCACAGCAAAGAATCTCAAACAAGTGTATCAGTTCAAGATATCCCTTTTGAACCAAGGCTGTCAAAAAAACGTGTCAAACAAGACAATCCGTGATATAATCAAAAAGACGCTACACAGCATGAACAACCAAAACTGAAAAATTTAGAACAGAATCTGTACACAATTTAATTTATTTCAATATTAACAATTTTGTGCATTTTCAAGAAGTTTATAGCAGGAAAAAAAGAAAGAAACCGACAGTAAAATCATCCAATAAATAAATATTTGTTAGAAGATGCATGAGGAAAACAGGTCCACAAAGCATAACTGCAAGACAAAATTATTGTCCAAAAACGCTCAGAATTCAAATGTCGGTTACGTGGGTAGGTATTTGTAGTCCGCCTATAAAGATGAGTATGTGCATACTACCAGCTCTAAATCGAAAGGCACTGTATAGTTGGTGGAGATATATGCGAAATCATTAATCCACATCTTCAAAACACATTTCCTCTGGTGAATTTACATCGGTACTCCCATTCAGCGCACAACGACCTAAGTCATCACTTGACACAGAATCCTCCATTTTGTCTCCATCATTAAACATTTGCATTATCCGTGAAAAAAAATTATTCATTTCATTTGCAGGAGGTTTAACACCAAAGTATAATTGGCCGATTTTATCCAAGTATTTTAAATAAGAAGAGTCTCTGTTCAGTTGGGGACTGTATTTTTCACATAGTACTGAAAATACAGCCAGACTGCACTTCTTTTCAATGGCTAACATCAGAAACCATAGGAAATTTAATAAAGGAAAATCTGCAAACGGTGGCCCAGGCTCTAAACGAGGGTGACGTCGTGTATATGTGTAAAACGTTAATATGGCAACTGAGATTTGCTTCATACATAAAAACTGAAGGACAGCTTGTGCAATAAATAAATCGATTTCTGATCGAAGCCCGTATCGCTGATGCAAAGCAACAAGGAAGACACCAGCCGCATAGCCATTAGAAGATAACATGATACGCAACCTTGCTTCACTGAAAGATCCTTCTTGCCACAATACACGAGCGAGATATCCATTGAACACAGCCAGAAGATCTTTTTGCTTCTGTAGAAGTTGAAGTGTCTTGTGGACGAAACGTGTCCTTTCTTCACCAGGACACATTCGTATCAAAAGTTCACAAATTTCATCTAGATGAGATTCAGTCAAAACTGTTTCACTCTGGCTATACACTTCAAGTACAAGGCAAGCTAACTCAGTACCACTTTCCCATTGTTCATTATCAAGTAAAAACTCAGAACCTAGTTTCAAATATTTTAATGCTTCCTGATAATTTTTCCGCATAATACAACGGAAATGTATGGTCTTGTATAGTTGATGAGCCTCATAGAAACGTCGTTCGCTGACAGCCAACTTCAGTCGTTGATCTAACTTGGATAATTTTAGTTCAACCGTTGACATCTGAACAAAGTTTAATAGAGGAGTTATACCTGTTGATGAAAACACCAAAGAGAAATACAAAATTAGGAAATTGTCGAGAAAATATTCGAATAACATTTCAATGAAATGTATCAAAGGTCAACGGTATCTCAGCACATGAATACACATTTGTACTACGTACCTAACTACTTCGACTGAATTTGTCATAACATAATCTTTTGAAATGTGTCCAAAGTAGAACGAATAATAGCTTTTACATCAATTCAGTTCACAGAAAGAACTATTAGTAGACTTGGGGTAGAACAAAGTAGGAGAAATTATCTGTCGGTTAATTAATGAAATTTTAATAACAACCAACTACTCGATTCTTTTAAAAAACCGATTGCTGAATTACAATCGATTATAGCAACTAGGGTGGGTTACTAGAAGATAACACGATTACAAGTGTTAGCTTGGTGTTTGCACCAGAATAAAAGCAACTATTGATGAGTGATCTTTTTGTCTGCTTGAAAAAAACTTGTCTTGCATTGTATGATATCTATCCTTTAAATCTACCTACATACAGCCTAATTATGATTTGTTAAAACGTTTTAATATCTGTTTTTATTGATTTGACCCGTTGAGAAATGAGGCGATATGATCGAATGTAATCGAGTGATATAACGCATCATTAGTTATTGGATGTAAAGCAGTCTAAGCAATGTGAATTTAATATTTTTACGCAGTCATATATATCATCAGCATTCGTCATTATTTTAGCTGGGAATTTTTATCCAATCATTTGGTATTGATTCAGGCTTTTATTTTAAACAGAGTAAATGCGATTTCAGTCGATCAGTCAGTTACAACGTAGGACCACGCACATACATGCACCGGTCCAAGAAGTAATTTAATAAACGAGTACAACATTTACTACCCGAAACTGGGCTACGATTCGGATGTGTCAAACAAAATTATTAAGCTCCTCTTACCAAAGCAAAACTAAGTTCGTATATGTCAGTCGGTCAGCTACAAAGTAGTAGCAGGCAAATATATGCCATACCTCATTAGCACATCAAATTCATAGAAGTAGTTACTTCAATGGTATTAATATATGGAAGAAAGATTGCATATAAGGATATAATACAAGAAGAAAGAATTAACTTGTAGAAATAAAGGTATAAAGTAATTTTAATCTCACTGTTTAAGGGAAGACGAAGAGTGTATACACCTACGCCATTGTGATTGGTTCTGAGCCATGTCGTCTAGTCTCCAACCATTAAGTACGACAGTCGCATGGACCCTAACTAAGTAGTGTGCATCTACCAACATGGCTCAGACCAGAAAATAGTGACTTTATGGACTGATGCCACTTTTTGGTTTGACCTCTCCCAACTTTCTCCCATCCATCCCCAACACTAGTCAGCATTGTGCGCCGTGGTAATCGGTGTTCAGGCATACGCAACACGTGGCCCAACCATCTCAGTTGATGTAGACTCACGACCTCATCAACCGACTTACCGTCATTCCCTAATACCCTGCATCTGAACCTCACGATTACTTACCCTGTGATCCCAGCAGATGAGAGCAATATTTCTAAGACATCTGTGATCAAATACTAGTAACTTAGTCAGTCAGTCATCAGTAATGTAGAACTTCGTACGTACGTACATCAGTTCGAGTTGCCATACCAGTCAGTCAGCTACAACGTAGGACCAGGCACATATATGCATCAGTCCAAGTTGCCATACCACATTCGCACAGAGATACAATTGTCGATTCAAATCTCATTGTGGTACAGGTAGTAAGAGTATAATTAGTAATCGGAAAGATTAGTGTTTAAAGATGTTATTCAAGGAGTATAAACCAGTGAAACAAATTTGGAAAGATAAAAAAAGGGACATGAAGAATTCAGAAGATCAGAATTTGGGAGAACACAAAGAATGGATGCACCTGCTCCATTGCAAACAATTAACCTAAGAGTATCCTCTACCCTTAATGGTCATGTTTCGCAGCCGTAAAGTAGAATAGAACGAACTGCCGCGCAGTATACTCGTCCCTTAATTGATAGACGGATATCTCACCTTCGCCATAGGTGACGTAGGTTAGCAAAAGCCACACGAGTCTGTTGAGTACGTGCAGAGATTTTGTCAGATACCAACCGATTAGGGATGACCAGACTTCCAAGATAAGTAAAGTTGTCGACGCGTCCGACTACTCTACTCCCTATCCTAAGTCCAGGTGTTGATGCAGACCAGTCTTGAAGCAACAAGTTGCATTTCGAGAAGGAAAAATGCATTTTAAACGTCCTAGCATTGTTGCTCAGTGTTACCAAAAGACTTCATTTTATCAGCGTCTTCACCAAATAGAACTATGTCATTTGTGTATTCTAGGTCGATAAGTGGACCTACTGGAAGGGGATCAATGCCCGAAAATTCAGTCGACGAGAACGTTATTTCCGTCAGTATGTCTGTGAAGTTGAACAAAAATGGAGATAGTGAACAGCCTTGACGGACACCAATTAAGGTTGCAAAGGTAGATGACAGTTCGCCATAAGCTTTGACTCGACTAGTAGTGTTCCAATAAAGAACCTTCACAAGGTTTATGTACTTGTGAGGTACACCTTCCAATGACAGACACTGCCACAGAATCTCTCGGTCTAGAGTCAAATGCTGCTGTTAGGTCAAGAAAGACAACTATTGCCGGACTCCGATAGGCATGCCTGTGTTCTAGAACCTGACGAATGGTGAATATGTGGTCGATACAACTATAACCAGGTCTAAAGCCAGCCAATTTTCTCGTGTTTAAAGTTCACGAGTTTATTTTAGGCGTCCGATAATTATTGAAGCTAGTATTTTAGATGCTATATTAATCAAACTAATCCCTCTGTGGTTGTCATAGGATGATTTTGATCTTTTCTTTTTATTTGGACGATCAGTGATTTAGACCATTCAGATGGGATTACATTCGATCCCCAGATTTTAGCTAAAATATTAGTCAACCTAATCACTAAAGCTGAACCACCATCCTTAAAGGCTTCTGAAGCCAATCCATACGGACCAGCTGCTCTTTCTCATTTCAGATTAGCTATGGCTTTTCGAACTTCAATTAGGGTCAGAGGGCCTACTTCAATGTTCCATTCAGGCTGTTTGAGAATGATGGGTAGTTGTAGCAGTGCTGGAGGTCAGCTAAACTGTTCCATAATGTGTTCCACCCATTATTCTGAACATCTAGGTTGAATGTCAGCTTTTTCCGAGATCGTATCACTTACACTTGACTACTTAATTCCAGTTTCTTTTATTAGTCTGAAAAGCGGTCTAATGTTACCTACAGCCGCTGTCCTTTCCATCTCTTGCTTTCGTTGCCGACCACTGCTCACGTCGTTCCGTAGACTTTTAGTTTACGAAGATCTGATTTGTTTTCGCTCTTCATCATGTTTGAAGCCTGATCGGATGGTATTTATTTATTAATTTGAACACAAATATTTGTACAAGGAGGCACCGAATACATATGCGCCACACAAGTTACTTGGTTTGTGTGTGCGCTGGGATACTGCCCGGATGCCCAGACCGAAGCAGGTGGTTTTCTTAGGGGGCCACACCCCGAGTCTTCGGCCTAAAGGTCTGATCCACAAGGCAGTGGAGCAACTTCAACAGATGCAGTCTCATGGTAGCCGGTGACCAATGATTGGTCCATATGCCATTTTATTCTCTCAGGATCCTAAAGCCAATGTGCAACATTGATTTGGAATCAAGGTTTTCCCACTCCCCTAGGTGAATTCTACGTGTCCACTAACCCGGTTAAAAACACCAGATAAGCGCTTTTCGTCCACTCAATTTCGTAATGCCGCGAGAAGGCAGTGAGTAGGACTTCCCTGGCACCTGCTGTATGCACATGGCCATGTGAGAGCTGACTCCACCCTCGGCCGTACAAGGGCGTTTGGGGGCAATAGGCCTAGCAGAAATCCACTAGTTTTTCATGACCCTATGGTTCAAATCACTAATAGATGTCACTGCTGTTTCCACAGCTGTTCGTATATCTTTCCAAACAACATCTGGGTCAGCCTCGTTTCCAGAACTAAGTGTGACCTCAGTTGTTCCTGAAATCTACTTTGGGCTTTCTCGTCACTGAGTTCAACTCTAATGGGTCTTCTTAATGTGGCTTTTCTAAGTTCAGTGAGGTGCAAGCAAATGCATGCTCGTATTTGAGCATGATCAGAGTCTAAACATGTACTCCAGGACGAGCGGCAGTATTCTATCGATCCTCTACAACGATGACAGATGGCAATATGGTCTAGTTGAGTCCATCATTGATTTGGTGCAGGGGGTCGCCATGTTAGATAATGTCTCTCCTTATGCTTAAAATTAGTGCTTGCTAAAAACAAACGATTATCTGAGAACAATTGCAGCAGATGGTCACTACTATCTGTCCGCTGATCTGGAATACTAAAATACCCACCTAAATGTCTTTCTGATTGGTTTAACCTACCTGCTTAAGTATTAAAGTCACCTGCGACTAGTACTATGTTTGAGTGTTTAGCTTTTTGAAGTTTAGAAAACTTTCTGTAAAATCCATCTTTCAGTTCATCCGGGATACAGTCAGTGGGAGCGTAGGCACAAACAACGAAAAGGCAATGACGTGTGTCCCTATAATTCCGAGTTCTTACGGAGCCGTTAAGCCGAACAGCACATAAACGACTGTTAACGGGGATCCACTCTAACAGTGCTTGTTCCGCCCTCATGCTTAGTGCTGTGCCTACTCCTGCCAGTCCACGAGAGCTGCCCGTCGGGTCACCAGATACACGGAGGGTGTATCTTGTTGGCTCTCCGTTTTGCCGAGGTGAGGTCAAGTGAATGACCACACTGGGATCCTGTATGTGTGTTTCAGAGACAGCATACATCAATGGTACGAGATTCTAGGGTTCTAGCCAAGGAAGCCTGTTGACCGATTTGACACAGGGTGCGTACGTTGAAGGCTCCAATGTGTAGTTTGGAGCGAGGTTTCAGTAGACCTGGGACACTGTTTTGAGCACTAGAATCGTT